TGTTTCACCTGGTCTTGTTTTTATACAGTCTATGGTCTTAACCTGCATAGGATGAATCTACACAGCTACTGAATACGCGGAGAGACTCTCGCTCCTATTGGTCAGCCAGTACTGTACAGAACTTTTTCCTCAGACAATCTCAAAATTATCATGTTTATCGCAAATACTCTTAAACAACATGAGATGGACACATAGAAGAAAAATATTTAGCTGTTATTCGAAGTTATAGATTATAATTTTAAAAAGATATTTCTGGTCGAAATCGAAACTACTAACTAGCCTACTCTACTAAATCTTTCGGTTTCGAAATCATTGTCTTCCGCTTAGGGATCGTGTTTCATTCATGTAAAATTCACTTAGGCCAACTTGAATTACTTTAATTGTACTCTCTTTATATAAAGAATGGCTCTTTTGGATGTAAGTGGATATAAATATAACTCTGCGTCACAGTGTGGCTTTAAGCAAACGCATCTTCTCGACCGGTCGAATCACTATAGTTTTGGGACCAAATGCCAGGAGTTCGCGGTACCCGTCGGAGTTGACGTAAGTAACTTAATTCTTGATTAAATCTTAGAGACACATTATTACGGTGTTAAGTGATAGACAGCATAAAAACACTAATTTTGTGAGAAAATGGAAGAATGCTCGCACCCAAACATGTTGAACAGATTAATAAAAAAATATGCCTTGATACATAAACCTTTATTTTTCCAGTTTTGTAGACTATCTTCAGCAATTGTAGAGCATGTAATATGTCATTAAAATGGCATTTTAAAGTTTTTGATTTGTTATATGGCAGGAATATTGAGAATCTGTCTCATAACACAGGGGACAGAGCCTCAGCAACAGCAAAAACAAACATGTAAATATATATTAGCCTGCCTAGTAACATATTCTGTGTTCCCATCAGCCCTCTAAGTTTCTGAAGTCATGCAGTTGTGAGGATGGTGTTTCCATAGATCTGAATCATGGCACCACAACCCTGGCGTTTAAGTTCCGTCATGGAGTCATTGTGGCCGTTGACTCCAGAGCATCAGCTGGAAAATACATAGGTAAGCAAGCATCCATACAGTTTTAAAGTAGGTAAACTCTTCCATGGAAGCAAGCTGATTTTACAACTACACCATAATACAAAGCATGTCATTCATACTGAAAACAGCATTCAGAATAACACACAATTGTCAAACTGTATTTTTTCCACATCATGATGTTTCTCCCAATGTGTTGCAGCATCAAAGGAGGCCAATAAAGTGATTGAGATCAACCCTTACCTGCTGGGCACCATGTCAGGCAGCGCTGCAGACTGTCAGTACTGGGAGAGACTGCTGGCGAAAGAGTGCAGGTCTGTCTCAGCATGCTTCTGAGAGCCGTGAAGCATCTGCTCACTGGATGAAGTTACCAGCTTGTGTTTGTGTTCAGCTGTGTCAGAAAATGTATTCAGTCAAAAGCTTTGGTTGAAGATTATAAGAAGAATAGTCTTTAAAAAATTAGCGCATCAGCAAAGATTAAAAGGGATAGTTCACCCAAAAAATAAAATTCTGTCATCATTTACTCACCCTCATGTCATTCCCAACCTGTATGACTTACTTTCTTCTGCTGAACACAAGCGAAAGATCAATGTTATTTGAAGAATGTTCAAGTTAATGGGATCAAAAAAACAAACAAACAAACAAACAAACAAACAAAAAAAATTTTAAACTCCAAAAAAAAAAAACATAAAGGCATGAAGCAACACTTTTTATGATGTACAGATTGAAATTTAAGCCTGAATCAAAACATTGATCAATGCACATGTACACAGACTACATCAAATATGGCGACACAAACCACAAATATCAACTAATGTCAAATATCATTGGTTCTCGCATGTTATGATATGATCAAACATGATGTTTAAGGATTGTGTCCTCATATTTGATGTAGTCTGTAAATGTGTTTTAATTTGATTTACCTATTTTAAAGTGAAATCATTTCATGATTTTGGGGTGAACTATCACCTGTTTTTCTTCTTTCTATTTAAAATGCTCTTGTAAAAATTTTTGGTTAATGACGACCAAAACGTTCCTGTTACTGTTGTGATTTTATCTTAAGAACTTCAAGTGTGCCGAAGCCCATTATACACTCTCAGAAAAAAAGGTACAAAGCTGTCACTGGTGTGGTACCCTTTCAAAGGTACACTTCATGCACTAATATGTACTTTTTAAGTACTAATATGTACCTTTAAGGTACCGTATGTACCTTTATAGGGTAAATAAGGTACAAAAGATGTACCTTTTAGCTTTTGTTTATTGGGTACCACCCCAGTGACAGTTGTGTACATTTTTTCTGAGAGTGTATATTTGCCGTTATTCTTCGTTAATATATTAATGTTAGTAATTGTGTGGTTTAAAAACAGGCTTTACAAACTGCGTAACAAGCAGAGGATCTCAGTGTCTGCAGCCTCCAAACTGCTGTCCAACATGATGCTGGGATACAGAGGCATGGGTCTGTCTATGGGGAGTATGATCTGCGGCTGGGACAAGCAGGTGATATGTGTGTGTTTATATAGCACTGTTTTTGTGTTTTTTGCTTATTAGCATATTTTCAGGATGGTCTAAGCATATAATATTATACAATAGTATTAAATAAAATGATAAAATACTATTGTAATGCTCTCAGTAAGATCTGGTGTCACATATTCTTTATGCGTAACAGCTACACACATAATCTTCAGTTATGTTCATATTATGTTTTCCCTCACATCAGGGTCCAGGTCTGTACTATGTGGATGATAATGGCACACGTCTCTCCGGCCGGATGTTCTCCACTGGCTGTGGGAACAGTTATGCGTATGGTGTCGTGGACAGTGGTTATCGTGAGGATACGACTGTGGAGGAGGCGTATGAGCTGGGTCGTCGTGGTATTGCTCATGCCACACACAGAGACGCTTACTCTGGTGGTGTGGTCAACCGTAAGTACAGCAGTGTATTACAAACTGGCTAGAAATAAACCTGAGACTGACAGTATATATATATACATTTGGTATTTTAATAATATTAACTTGATGTGCCATTTTGTTTAAACCAAAAGCTGTGAGAAATGTCTTTTTTGTCTTCAGTAATACCTTTACATTTCTGTTCTACATGATTGTTTTCTTAATTCATTAATGTACGTTGTTGTTGAACACTGTGTTTGCGTGCTGTACTTAAGATGATATGTTTTCATGTGTTTGCACCTTTTAGTGTACCACATGCAGGAGGACGGCTGGATCAAGGTGTGTAAGGAGGACGTGTCAGAGTTAATCCACAAATATAAGAAGGGAATGTTCTGATCTCATCTGATCTCTCATTCATTCAATACTCACTGTTTTATTATTATAACTGACACAGTAAACATTAAACTCAAATCAAACGTGTTTGGTGCATTCTTTGTAATATATTTGCATTTTCTGTAAGAAGTCTTTAGGTGCATAAAAAATCTACTTGATGCACTTATTGTACAGAACAAATGTAGCCCCCATTTGAAATGATTTGTGATTTAGCCTAGGCCCTTGTACTGTACATATATAAGACACAAAACTGGTCTAGGCATCATTACAATACAGAATTGTGGAAGCTCAGCAACAATGGAACAAAATGGAAGCTATGAATTTACTGTTATTTTTAGTTAAACCCTTAAATTCAAGCATTAATAAAAGTTATTTTTTACTTTTACTCCAATGAAAATTTTGAACTAAGATGAAATTCTGTAAATGAAGAATGTATCATTCATATGGAATGCCAAAGCTGAATAAAAATAAAAATAAATACATACATATATAAATATGCAAAGAGATGTAAAATTAACTAAATCAATCAATCAATCTACAAGAAATGTAAGAAACAAAAATAAATATTTCTCTGTTTATTTCCTTCTGTATAATTGTTGTTTTTATTTTTTCATTTATCTTTTGCATTTGTTTCTACATTTCTTTATCCATATACACTGAACAAAATTATAAACGCAACACTTTTGTTTTTGCCCCCATTTTTCATGAGCTGAACTCAAAGATCTAAGACTTTTTCTATGTACACAAAAGGCCTATTTCGAGGGGGCGTGTTTTACTTCAGACATCGAGCTCAGAAGACGCAAGAAAGGCAAGGAAGACGCTTTGAGGCCTGACAATGATATTAAACCATTTAGACCATACTTAAACCATGATATAAGATATTGGCCATGTCACCCACTTCTAAGACATTCATTATGACTCGCACTACTCAAAGTTCTGAAAGCTTCTTCCTTGCCTTAGCCAGAACACGCATCTTATTACCATATGGACAAATAAATAAATGTGGACACAAATGCATGTATAAATAAAAAAAAATATAAGTGAAATAAGAAAATAAATATGAGTGTAAATGAATGAATGAATAAATATATACATGAAAAAATTGTGAAAAATACAATTATATAAAAAGTAAAAATACAAATTTATTTTGTTTTTACATTTATGTATGTACTGTATGTATGTAATGATTGATTGATTGATTCATTCATTTAGCTAGCAGCTTTGCAATTCCATACATTCTAGCTTGTTCAGCAGTATTACTGCTGGCTATCATCAGTTACACTAGTGTGCCCCTTACCTTTCTTAAAATAGGAAATTACTGGAGCTGTAATTATATTTGTATCTTGCAGACATGTTCTGAGATGGATCCACAGTTGTCATCTATAGATTCCTGTTTGGGGTTTTATCTGTTTAATCTGTTAAATCAAGGATTCTTTTTAATAGGAATCACATTTTATCAATACTTTAAGCAAAGCCTTAAGTGAGTCTTAAAAGAGTTCTGAATTTTTACGTTGAATTTTTTTGATGTCATATCTAAGCAGCTGAGCAATATCTCCTTTCCTGTCTCATTGTCAGTACTCACTTTACATGTCCTTCTTCTGCAAAATTCTACTGCATCATTGCAGTGGTGAATAAAATATTTCTGATTAATATTTCATATCAAGTTGGAGAAGAATCATATACTGTTCTGTAATTCAAGTTAACTGATAGATTCTGATATGAATTCTGATGTTTTGGTAAGACATTCACCACTTCAAACTCCATTTTATGAGGTTTATTTATTTTTAAGGAATCAAAACAACATTACAACTTTTGGAAGGTAACCAATATACAAAAAAAAGAACATGTGCCTTACTTCAGCAGATGTAGAAACCTCAAATAAAGAAAAAATTCTAGATTTTACTGTACTGTTCAGATTCATTGACAATTGTTTAGCAAGAATCAGTTATCACTGTGTAGTACAACTTCTTATCTAAATTATTTAAAACAAAAAGAAGGACATATACAAACAGAAAAAAGCCCTAAAATCCCAAACAAGCAAATAAAATATGAAGCCTACAGATTCCACAATTCATCCAATCTAGACCATTTTAAAGTTTAATTAAAGTAATTAAAAGTATAATAAACTATTTGATCACAGAAATCCTCTCTAGAGAAACAACATTTAAATATAGAGATTAATCTTCTTAGACTGGGAAGGGCTGTTGCACCCAGGTACACCGCATATAAACACTTCAGGTTTCTAATTTAGCTTCTGGTGTCTTTTTCAGGGTTAGTACTGATATCACAAACCTACAGATCAACCTTGCAAATCAATCATTTGTATTCTTTCTTTCTTTTTTGTCACTGAAGAGAAATACATTTTCCATTTAAATTTCTTAGATCAATGCCTCATATTTCTACATCTTAAATTAACAAGCTCATAAAATTAATATAAAACAAAAGAATGAACAGAAAAGTGTGAAGAAGCAAAACATTTTCATATTTCAATTATTGCCAATTAATAAGACATGCAGATTGATCTCATTACAGAAATATATGATCCTGTGTGTATATGAGAGTGTTTATGTTCAGTGTTGCAAGCAAGATGGACAGCAGGATAAGCATCATTTTTTTCAACTTCATCTCTCCCACACATCTAGTCCCCTAAAATTCCAGAAGAAATACATTATATTTTATCCATTTCATTTGACTGAGACAGTTACACTGATAAATAACAGTAATAACACACTCACATATTTATGCTTTTGCATCTGAATGAGCTGAGCTGTTTGAACCATCATCAGAGGCTAGAACAGAAAATTAAAATTACAACAAAAAACATCACAACAGACTGTGTGTCTGTTTAGATTACATTAGGGAGAAACATTTGTTTCATTAGAAAGAATTTTCAAAGCAAAAATTGAAAAAATAGACAAAACTTCTATTTTGATTTACATTTTTTTAATTTAAATATGAACATGGTATGCAACATAAAGCAGTGCTCAGTGGAAGAGCCCATCTGTTATTAATCCATTTACAACAAATAGAGCTTGAGGAACTTACCGCTGACAGGTTTGAAGCCTGAAAAACAACCAGAGAGGGGGGATGTAAGTTCAGTCATTTCACCCATCAGAGCAGCACACAAATGTGTAAAACACAAAATATAGTCAATATAGTGATGATAATAATATCTAGAGTCTCTGTCTCACCTTTCTTTTTCTGATACACCTTAAACACAACGACACTGATGACAACCAACAGAACGACAGCCGCAAGAGCACCAACAATGATGCCGATGGGAAGAGAATCTGAAGAATTACATTAGAAGAAAACATCAGATTACTAAAGAGCCTGACAATAAAACCTGTTATTTTCAGCAGATATAAAAGTGATTGTGATGTCTGCAGTACATTAGAATAAACAGCTTAGTGTGTACAACAGCAACCAATAATAATACAGGCCAGAACATATTATGTTTGTACTGAAGGAATTTTCCAGGTTTATGTATTTATTTTTTTACAGGTGTTTTACCTGCATTTTGAATTTTACACTGTATTGCATCGTGTTTTAGAGTTGACGGAAATGTCTGTAAAACTACTGGATAAATCCTGCCAGTACTTTTTGTGTTATTTTACAGATTTTTTTCTTACAGTGTAGGCATAAAGCACTTGATTTCCATTAACATTTTTTTGTTTCATGGTCTACTCATCAAGACAATCACTCTTACTATAACTAAGATCTTACCGTCTGTCAGTGTCTTTTTGATGGTTTTGCCCTGATGCTCCACCACACAGCTGAACTGGTTCTTCTTCAGCTCATCAGGTGTAACTCTGATGGTGCTCATCTTCTGAAAGGTCCCGTCCTCATTGGGAAGAAGCTCACCGAGATCCACATCCTCATCATGGTCTTCATCGTTTCTCATCCAGGAGATTTTCACTTCATTGGGGTAAAACCCAGTAGCATGACACGTGACTGGAGACGAGGAAGACTTCTGCAGCAGAGACACATGAGGAGGGACTGAAGAGAGAGACAGAGAGAGAGAGTGATTTTAATTGGAAAATAAGTTCCGACACCTTCACTTTGATCTCTACACATACAAGACCTCTGCAAAAAAAAATTCACACATTATGGTCCTTCCTAAAGCTGGTAATTTAACCTATTTTCTACTAGAGAGATTAAGTATAATAAAAATATAAAGTAAAATATAAAAAGGGAGATAAAACAAAACAGAAATAAAGAAAAGATGAAAGAAAAGACTGCAGTGGTTCTTTCTTCAAAGTAAATCAACACAAAAAGCCAGACTTATTTCTTTTCAAAACAATGAAGTAATGATTATACTTCTAACAAAGCATCTTTATTGAAGAATCTTACTTCAAGCACTTCCAGTCACTGAAGCACTCGTGGATAAAGGTAACTCTTTAATTACACGCTCAATGTTCAGGTGAAAAGTTATTAATGACATGTTATCTTGGCTCCTTTGTGAGATTCAAACCCGACAGAAAAACATATTCAAATTTTATAATTAACAGTTTTCACATACGCTTTATTTTGCAACTCTTCATGTTTATAGAGGAGGAGGAATTATTACATACATATCAAAACACTTTCACTATATATTTCCACACATTCCACATTTGTATGGCGTAATGTGGGATCAGTCTGTATTTGAAATATATTTATTTTAAATATATATATTTCATTTATTTATTCGTTTGTTTGTGAAAAAGAATAAATATTGTATTGTGCAATGATTTCTAGTTTTCAAAATGTTTAGTTTCAGTTAATGACGTACCTGTTTTCTGCAGGCTGCTCTTTCCATACTGTAGATACTTCTGCAGCCACTCGATGCACACAGTGCTGAGGTACTGTTTCTGATACTCAGTGTTGGCTGTGTCTTTGTTCCACTTCTGTACAGTGAGGAATCCTTGCTGCACTGGAGAAATCCATCTCATCTCCTTCAGATCCAGAGACAGAAAGTCCTCTCCATCATAACCATCCTGGAAGAACCCATTTGTTGCTCCAGTCTCATCATCCCACTCACAGCCGTACATTCGCTGGTTTGTGTGCACACCTGAGGAACAGAGACACAGAGTTAGTGATCTGACATGTCAGTATTCGAAATGAAATTCATGATTTTTATCAGATGGGATGCTGAATGAAATGTGTGATTGAATAATAAATTGTATAAATTACAATTTATTAATCTGCTAAATTATTAAGACTAAATGTAAAGTGTAATTCACGCAATAACACATAGACAATGAGAGTTTACAGGCAACAAGTTATCTCAGTTTAGGATTAAGAAGTAGAATCCACACATCAAATCAAGTTGTAAACTTAAAGAAACATGAGGCTTAAAGTCTCAAACATAAAAGCAAAACAGCTTTAAAAAGAATTTGATGAAAATTACATGAATATTATTCATGTTTGTGTTCAGGTGTGTGTGTATCAGTATATTTTGAAAGAATTTCATGGTACTAATTAATATTTACGCTATAATAATGATACATTTTTCTCATCGAAAATAATAAATTTTTTTTCTAATATTTTCATCTCATCTGAAGCAGCTGTTCACACATTTCACTTCTTCTCCTCTGTTTCAGAAGCAGAACCAGTTCATTTCTCACAAAAGAAGAACTAGATTAAAAAGACTGTCAAGACAAACTTTATGTCGCTTGAGAATCAGTTTAAAAAGCCTGAAGTTTGATGTAGCTTTAAATTTGAATTGTGTTTAAAAGCTTGAAGTTTAAACACCTGAAATTTAATATTTTTTTTTATTTTCAGTAAAATCAATGTAATATATTTTTGTTTGATAATATTTTTTCTTTTTTAATTTTGTATTTTGAGAGAATTTCATGGCACTAATTAATATTTACACAAGAATTATGATCACTTTTTTTTCCCATCGAAAATTCTTTTTTTTCCTAATATTTTCATCTCATCTAAAGCATCTCTGCTCAAACATTTTTATTTTCAGTAAAATCAGTGTAATATATTTTTGTTCAATAATATTTTTTTGTTTTTTATTTTGCTTTTTGAGAGAATTTCATGATACTAATGAATATTTATGCCAAAATAATGATACATTTTTTCCCATCGAAAATAATAATTTTTTTTTCTAATATTTTCATCTCATCTAAAGCAGATCTGTTCACACATTTCACTTCTTCTCCTCTGTTTCTGAAGCAGAACCGGTTCATTTCTCACAAAAGAAGAACTAGATTAAAAATATTGTCAAGACTAACGTTATGTTTCTTGAGAATCAGTTTAAAAAGCCTGAAGTCTGAAGTAGTTTTAAATTTGAATTGCTTTTAAAAGCTTGAAGTTTGAACTCCTGAAATTTTATTATTTTTTTATTTTCAGTAAAATCAATGTAATATATTTTTGTTTGATAATATTTTTTCTTTTTTAATTTTGTATTTTGAGAGAATTTCATGATACTAATTAATATTTATGAATACTTATGATTAAAAAAAATCCTAATGAAAATAATAAAAACATTTTCTTATATTGTTATATTACTTTTCAATTATGGCAGTATTTCATGTTAAAAAAGAGACAATGGCTGCGCATACTCAATGAGTAGGTACTTCATTTCAATAAGTACTTACTTAACGCGCGCTAAAAGAGTACACTCTAAAAAACGCTGGGTTGTTTTTTCAACCCAAATGCTGGGTTGAGACCGCTGGGTATGAGGCTTAAAGTCTCAAACATAAAAGCAAAACAGCTTTAAAAAGAATTTGATGAAAATTACATGAATATTATTCATGTTTGTGTTCAGGTGTGTGTGTATCAGTATATTTTGAAAGAATTTCATGGTACTAATTAATATTTACGCTATAATAATGATACATTTTTCTCATCGAAAATAATAAATTTTTTTTCTAATATTTTCATCTCATCTGAAGCAGCTGTTCACACATTTCACTTCTTCTCCTCTGTTTCAGAAGCAGAACCAGTTCATTTCTCACAAAAGAAGAACTAGATTAAAAAGACTGTCAAGACAAACTTTATGTCGCTTGAGAATCAGTTTAAAAAGCCTGAAGTTTGATGTAGCTTTAAATTTGAATTGTGTTTAAAAGCTTGAAGTTTAAACACCTGAAATTTAATATTTTTTTTTATTTTCAGTAAAATCAATGTAATATATTTTTGTTTGATAATATTTTTTCTTTTTTAATTTTGTATTTTGAGAAAATTTCATGGCTCTAATGAATATTTATGCAATAATTATGATAAAAAAAATTTCCCATCGAAAAAACAAAACAAATTTATCTCATTTTAAATTTAGTTTTAAATTTAAATCGCTTTTAAAAGCTTGAAGTTTGAACACCTGACATGTAACTTTGTTTTATTTTAAGCAAAATCAGTGTAATATATTTTTGTTCCATAATATTTTGTCTTTTTTATTTTGTATTTTGAGAGAATTTCATGGCTCTAATGAATATTTACACAATGATTATGATCAGTTTTTCCCATCGAAAATAATACTTTGTGTGTGGTCTGATAGCGACTGGCAGAAAAGCCAGTGAGTGTGGTATCTTCCGCTGAAGCAGCGATTGTTAAACGTTCATCACATGTATTGCGGTCTAAAGCGAGGCTGTGATCTTGATCAGAAGTGAACGGCTCAGACAGAAACTGCATCTAAAGCGTCTGGATCTGAAGCTCTTCATAACGTGTGTCTGACAGAAGCCAGTGTTGTTCATCTGCTGCCATCAGACGCTTCACAATCAGCTCTGAATCCCACTGAACACAATCCAGTCCAAGCCTCTCAGAAGCTAATAACCTCGATCAGCAAACACACCACATTTAACAAACTAAACCAACGCCGTTCCTCCAGCAAACACGCTCCGGTGATCAGCTTCTGCTCAGAACTCCACGAGAGTCTGTGTAGGATTGTAAAACTAGCGCGGGATTCAGCTCCAGCGGGATATAAATATGAAATACTGATATCAATAAAGAAGTCTAATCACTGCTGAATGTATAAGGGTTCTGCTGAAATGCTCTGCTTTCGTTTCTTCGAGTGTCTGTGTTGTTGAATCTTGTTCTGGACTCACAGAGCTTCAGTTTGAGCTCCAGCGTCTCGTCTCTACAGAAGAACAGTCTGTGTGTGTTTGCTAGCTTGTTTTAGCGCTTCGTTCGCATGTTTATAACAGCTTTAGCACGTTGCTAACACGATTTAACACACTGCTAGCCTTTTTTGTTTGTTTTAGCGTGATTTAGCACACGGTTAGCATCTTCTAGCATATCGCTAACGTGTCCTAGGCTAGTTTCTAGGCTTTGCTAGTGATAGAGTGAAGGATTCTGGGAGTTTGTAATCTGAACGGTCCGCGAGTGGAAGTCTGTGGGTTTTCCCGGCTTTGATGGGTGTTTTCAGGGAAAGCTTCAGGAGGATTTCTCTGTCTCTCTATATTCACTGTGAAACTCAGACTGGATTCTAGAAAGAAGACGAAGAACTCCTGCACTGCTTGTGCTCTGTAGAGCGCAGTAACTCATCTGAACTGGTGTTTGTGTTCAGGACAGAAGCACACGTGCTGCTCTGCTGTTCAGACGATCAGTCACTCAGAGACTGTAGTGTTTAAAGAAGAGCTTCTGCTGGAAGCAATGATGAAGATGAGGATGAGGATCAGTGAAGCTCTTTAACCTTTCTTACGTGGTAATGAGTGAAGAGCGTGTGTTTTGTGTCACTGCTGTATTAATGTGAGTAAAGGTCAGAGGTCAGTGTGTTTGTGTTCAGTCTCTCAGATGTGATCTGGTCTGGATGAGGACTTCCCATCATCCTCCACAGAGCTCTTGAGAATCAGTTTAAAAAGCCTGAAGTTTGAACTAGTTTTAAATTTGAATTACTTTTAAAAGTTTGAACACCTGAAATTTTATTATTTTTTTATTTTCAGTAAAATCAATGTAATATATTTTTGTTTGATAATATTTTTTCTTTTTTAGTTTTGTATTTTGAGAGAATTTCATGGCACTAATTAATATTTACACAAGAATTATGATCACTTTTTTTTCCCATCGAAAATTCTTTTTTTTCCTAATATTTTCATCTCATCTAAAGCATCTCTGCTCAAACATTTTTATTTTCAGTAAAATCAGTTCTTTTTTTCCCTAATATTTTCATCTCATCTAAAGCATCTCTGCTCACACATTTTTATTTTCAGTAAAATCAGTGTAATATATTTTTGTTCAATAATATTTTTTAGTTTTTTATTTTGCTTTTTGAGAGAATTTCATGATACTAATTAATATTTATGCCAAAATAATGATAAATTTTTTCCCATCGAAAATAATAATTTTTTTTTCTAATATTTTCA